CTCTTTTACTCCGACGAAGGACTAGCGTCCGAAACGTCAGTAAGTTTTTTCATCTTTTCACGGTGTATAATTTACCTTTTCATCATTACTGTTTCATCCTGAAAATTATTGTCAATTAAATACCTTAACGATGAGTTTGGTTTGAGAGTTTAGCTCGGATTCATCGTCATTTTTGTAAAGTATCTGTAATATAATGATCATAATTATCGTAATGAACAAATATGACTAATTCGCTGATGGATTCCATTTTCTTAATGTCGGAAATTGATCAGGAACTAAATGGACGCATGGACGGACAGAACGAAAGAACGACGAATCGATAAGTGGATAGATGAATGGATCTGGATATGTATGGATAGGTGGATGAAAAGAGAGATGATTGGATGGATGAATGGATGAATTGAAAGATGGTTACAGGTCGGTGGATAGGTGGGAGGGTGGGTTCATTAATTGGGAATATGGGGTACGAAACTAGTTATTACATTTATGTAAATAATACTTAAACAAAAACAAACAAAAAAACAAAAAAAGAAAGAAAGAAAGAAAAAAAGAAAGAAAGAAAAAAGAAAAAATAGCACATTAAAATCATGATATCCTTACATCAAGGGCGTATGTTCTTTCGTCAGAAGATTTGATACCAGACAGTTCAAATATAGCCAATCCTATCGACACGTCTCCTGCCCATCTTATGCGCCCACTGTATTCTAGAACAGCACTGTGCTGTTTTAAGTCAACTGTACTTGTACCATTTTCAAATTGCGAAATGTATACAATTGAGTTTTCAAAATCATTCTTTTTCCAAGTTCCAAAGTGCATGTCATCAATAAGTGTCTGATTGGAAAATGTCCAAGTAAAGTTGACCGCGCGTCCCGTATACCCAACAATATGGTTGCCTGGGGATGACAGCATTCGTGGCAAAGTCGTTTGTACTGCTGAAAATATTCAAGATAAAATAATAATAATTTGATGTTAATGACTAATCTTTTCAATTATGTTCTTTTTACGTCCCCACAATGCTGGGTGAGGTATTTTTCATGTACTTATGCATGTGTAAATGATTTAAGTAGCTGATTGTAAATTGCCTATATATAGCGAGATTTACGATTGAATTTGGAAAACATAATAAAGTTTACATTATTATTATTATTATCATTATTATTATTACTATTATTATTATTATTATTATTATT